AAGATTTTATTTATTTGACAGAGAGAGACACAGTGAGAGAGGGAACACAAGCAGGGGGAGTGGGAGAGGGAGAAGCAGACTCCCCGCCGAGCAGGGAGTCCGATGCGGGATTCGATCCCAGGACCCCAGGATCACGACCTGAGCCAAAGGCAGATGCTCAACAACTGAGCCACCCAGGTGCCCCAGTATTAGATTTTTAAATGTAATTTTATATCAAAGACATAAACTAAAAACTAACACTTGGATGGTTCTAGGCAGAGGTTCTCCTGCACCATCTATAATACAAAATACAGATTTATAACTGCAACCTTCTTTTGACTATAATCAATATGGTCAAAACTGTACAAATTTCCTTCCCCCAACAAAGACTCTACATGACCCTTGAAATTGCAACCAATCTCCTCAGCAAGAACAGTTCTTTCAAAATGATGCAAAATACTCATCTAGCCAGAACCGTGAAAGGTTTTGACCTAGAAGTCTAGACAAGGAAGATTCCACTCTAAACATTAATAAAATAAAATCGCAGCTGATCAGTCTGCTCACCTCAAGGGACTTTTCTGTCTTCCCTTTTAGTTTTTCAAGTTCTTCCTTCAATTTTTCATTTTCATGACTCAAAGCCATGAGGCGCTCCTTGGCTTCTTTGCTCTGTATCTCAAAAAAAAGGCGTTCTTCCTTCTGTTTCTCTGTCCAGGCTGAAAGCTCTTCAAATCGCCCTTTCATCGCCTGATTATTTAGCTTCATGGCTTCTGTACGGGGTTCAGAGTGAGAGTGTCACACATCAGACTTGATCTGATGAATCCGACCTCCAAGACCACCCTCACCACGTGGCTCCAAATCCAAAGAAGCCATGCTTGGCCTGGGCCCCAGGGTTGGCAGGAAATGTAGCAAGGTGAGTGGTTTTTGCTTTCAGACAGGACTCGGGGGCCTAATGTCATTTCTAGTCCTCCAAAGACTCCAGAAAATAAAACTAGTTTGGGTCCCTCCACTAAGGCACACAAGCTAGAGGACTGATTCAAACACCAGTCCTGTCAGAAGCCATGGCCTGATACCCCAGAATGCTTTCCGTGAACAAGGTCATAGTGAGGACTAACTCCGTAATTCTTTTTTTTAATTTATTTTAATTTTTTTATTTTTTAAAGATTTTACTTATTTATTTGAGAGAGAGAGAATGAGAGAGAGCAAGCACATGAGAGGGGGGAGGGTCAGAGGGAGAAGCAGACTCTCCGCTGAGCAGGGAGCCCAATGTGGGACTCGATCCAAGGACTCCAGGATCATGACCTGAGCCGAAGGCAGTCGCTTAACCAACTGAGCCACCCAGGCGCCCCTAACTCTGTAATTCTTCCTGTTTCTTTCTAAAGGGACCACATGTCATTATGCCATTTCCCTGGGGTATGTAAGTACCTTTTATTCTTATCTGTATCCCCAAAGTAAACAATGGAAACAATGTTAGCCTTACCAAAAGCTAAACTCTGTGCTCTTTCTCTTGCTAGTGAAACAGAGAGAAGGGAATTCACCAACAAGCCTTTTGACAAAGAGATGCCGTTCATGAAGGTCCAGCGTGAATGAAGAAACATGGTGGCTAGGGGCTGCTCACCTTTGAGCTGATGGTTCTCAATCAGGAGCTCCTTCATCTGCTGCAGCAGCTCCTCTGGAGTGAATGTGTCCAGGTTTGGGTGAGCCAGGTTGGGGGGTCCATTTCCTGTGGTTTCGTTGGGGCTGTCCCCCTTTTCAGTCAGGCAGCTAAGAGGTTGGTGGGACATGGCAGCAGGACCTAGGGAAACATCACAAACTGAAGAGAGAGAGGTCTTCCCGTGGCAATGGGTCCCCGTGAGTCGCGCAAATCCATGGGCAACTGCTAGTGAGTATTCCAAAAGTTGCCTCCTTCCTCTCCAATTCTATTTTGGACATTTTTGGTTCTTCCCTTTAAACAAAAAAGGTATATGCTAGCTTCAGTGTGTATGTGTGTGCATGTGCGTCTGTGTATGTGGGTGCGGTGAGGACCTGCGGGATGGAGGAGGAAGAGAAGAGTATGAGATCATGAGAATCGGGAATCCTAACAGGAATTCAAGGTTTCCAAAAATATATTTGTAGACATGGGTAAAGTATCATTAAATTGGTTTTCCTATGCAAATCTTTCAAGCTCAAATCTTTTTGTTTTGGGTGAATTGCACATAAAGCTGTTAAAAAAATCTCCATATTTTATCTCTTGAGTTTTTGGCTAAGAGGAAAGGGAGAACGAACATATTTTGGATGCTTACTACGTGCTGAATCACCGCACCAGAATGTCAGTTTCTAATCCTCGCTAAAACCCAAATGGATGGCTACTTTACAGGAGACGGAGCTGAGTTCACAGCAGTGTTACAGCTCGGCCAAGGTCACTTCATAAGAGGTGCAACCGAGTATTAACAACACCAAAACCCAGCCCTGTAATACAATAAAGATGCTACCGAATATTTAGGCTTCAATATCCAATAATTCTGTAAGGTATCCTAAAAAGACCAAGAGATCTTGCTCACTTTTTGCATATTCTGACAATATTTTAAGCATACCACCACTTTATTTTGTAGAGGGGTCAATGTGGACATAAATAAGATAGACAAGTGTATCCCAAATCCATTTATATATGCCCTACCACCTGGGCAAACACAGGAATCTCTTGTAACAACTGGCAACATGCTACAGGCAAACATTTTCTTTTTTGTGCTTCGTGAAGATGATGACAAGCCTTGTCATGGAAGATGAAGAAGGATAAGTGCACTCTCTCTTATACATCACCGTATCATTAACACCTAGGAGTGCTCTCGGTGACCATATATTAAAATGCGACCAAACACACAGGGTGTGGTGCAATGCTTCTTCCCCACCCCCAACTGGAAGCAAAGCTTGGGGGTTCTGTGGAGGTCCCCTGGACCCAAGAGCCTGGTGACCTGCTTTTGGTCTCAAGGAACCTGGAGGCCACAAGAGATAGTACTACGACAGGACAGCAGGCTCCGGCTTCTCCCCTGAGCAGCCACCTCAAGTAGAGACAGTCTCATGGAACGCTTTAATGAGGATGGCAATTTATGAAGTGAAAAACACTGACGAGGCATACCATCCAACTGGGAGCCTTTGGAAGGTATCTATGTTTTACACATCCTAATGCATTTAGAAAAGAGGTATAATGCTCTTAGTATTCGGTGACTAGAAGAGACTGCTTTTGCTTTCCCCAATAAAATAATCTGGATAAAATAATTTAGATAAGAACAATTTGGAGAAATCCAGTTTCTGGTTTTCCATAACACTCATTTTCACACAGTATGACGTTGGAGTTAACATTTCATAAAAATGGGTTTTTACCAAATAACAGGAATACTAAAGAGACCCAAAGATAAAATCCCTGCAATGTGCCCCAAAGTTTATAGCAGCAATGTCCACAATAACCAAAATATGGAAAGAGCCCAGATGTCCATCAACAGATGAATAGATAAAGAAGATGTGGTTTATATGCGATGGAATATTACTCAGCCATGAAAAAAGAGAAATCTTGCCATTTGCAACAATGTGGATGTAACTAGAGGGTATTAAGCTAAGCGAAACAAATCAGTCACAGAAAGACAAATACACATGATTTCACTCATACGTGGAATTTAAGAAACAAAACAGAAGAACATAGGGGAAGGGAAGAAAAAATAAAATCAAAACAGAAAGGGAGGCAAACCATAAGAGACTCTTAACTCTAGGGAACAAACTGAGGGTTACTGGAGGGGAGGTGGGTGGGGGGATGGGGTAACTGGGTGATGGGCATCAAGGAGGACACTTGATAGAATGAGCACTGGGTGTTCTTTTTAAAAAATTTTATTTATTTGAGATAGAGCACAAGTGGAGGGGCAGAGGCAAAAGGAGAAGCAGGCTCCCCGTTGAGCAGGGAGCCCGACATGGGGCTCGATCCCAGGACCCTGAGAACATGACCTGAGCCGAAGGCAGACGCTTAACGACTGAGCCACCCAGGCGCCCCAGCACTGGGTGTTCTATGCAACTGATGAATCACTAAATTCTGTCCCTGAAACTAATAATACACTATATGTTAACTAAATTGAATTTAAATAAAAAATTTAAAAAATCCTTGCAATATGTATCATTTACTTGTCAACGTTCAATTTGCTTAGGTATTCAATGATTATAATACACTTTGCAAAAGTAAATGGAAACATTCAACAGATGTTTTTTTAAAAAAGTTCCTAAGCAGTTCTCTAGAGATGTGCTTAGTTTCATTTTATTATATACACATTTCTCCTTACTGGTTTTTCCAAGAGAGAGGAAAGGGGAGAGAAGGGGAAAGGGCAGGGGAGGGCAGGCAAGGAGAAGGGAGGGAAGGGGAGAAAAGAAACATTTTCTCTTGAAAATTACTCAGGTATTTTTCCTCTTCAACTTTCCTTTACACCTCCTTTAGACACAGCCACGCTAAAGTTAAAACTGGTTCTAGCTGTTATATCAGAGCTTCTAACTTTTTCAGGTTGCCCAGATTTTAGGAGGACATGAGGGGGAAAAGCAAGGTTATGCTAAGGGGGACAGTAGACAAAACAATGGGTGCCTTAACCAGATGTGTGACTCTTATGATAATTTACTGACTTGTCTAGCAAATGATGATCATTACATTTGCTTTCGGCTCAAAAACCCATGAAAAGTATTCTTGAGTTTGTAGGAAGATCCAACCCCACCATCCAACACATACAGCCCAGCATCATCATGGCCATACCACCATATGTATTATATGCTTGTCCTAATCATAGCAAACACTTCATTATCTAGCATTGTTAGGAAAAATTATTTGGTAATTCAAATGTCATAGGAAATAAGAGGTTAGTGTATATGCCAAACATAATGTAATGTAATGTAAATACTTATTACCAATTTTTACCAAAAGCAATTTAATTGATTTTTGGTGACCCAAAGAGCACCCTATGATTTTAGGTATTTTGGGGGCATCATTAGGAGTAATGAGTACAGTGCTTATGTAAAATGTCTATTGGTAGAGTACCCATTAGGGAAAGCTGAATTTTCTAAATCTTTAACATCACCTTAAGCTACTTTCAATTGAACAAATACAGAGATGCATTATAAATTCTTGCACACATCTTCAAAGGTTATAGAAATTGGAACTAAGCCATTTATTCCAAGGTTCTATCTGGTAACATAATTTCTTTTTTCCTTTTTTTTTTTTTAATAACAGAATTTCTCATAACCTGGATCTGAAACATGTCATTTTTTTTCTTTTTTTTTTTAATGTAAGCTCTATGTCCAACATGGGGCTTGAACTCATCGCCCCAAGATCAAGAGTCACATACTCTACCAACTGAGCCAGCCAGGCACCGTTGAAACATGTCACTTCTAAGCAAAGGTGATATTTAACTACAGAGGGTGAATTAATTTAGCACAGGATTTATCAAGATTTCACCAGTGAGGAAGAAGGCAAACTACCTGGAAGAATCGCCTCGATTTTATTCCCAGATCTATTTGAATTCTTAAATATATTATCATTTTTAATTCCAGAGGTCAAGTAATTATAGCAATGACTTGACTTTGTGGGTGTGGGCATGAGCTTAAATCTCATTCCTGAATTGGCCTTACAAATGATCCAGTCCAACTTCTTATTCAATGCAAGAATATCTTATCTGGTTTCCATGGAAGATGGTCATCCCCACCAAGCTTGAAAGGCTTCAATGACAGAAAATATGAGCAATTAACTTTAGCAGGCAACACAGCCCATTCTGTTCTGCGGCCATTCCCATCATTAGAAAGTTATTCTGTATGGAACAGAAATTTGCCTTATACTGACTTCCACCCACTGGACATTGGACCAATGAGCATCATGCAGAGTAAGTCCAGGCCCTTGTCCTGGTATGTTCCAAACTGGCTTAATAAGCATTCACAGGTTCAATCCCCACATGAATAAATTAATTTTAAACAGTAAAAACCTATTTCTTGATCAGAGCCCATAGGTGTGGCTATTGGCAAATTCTGGTTTGGGATCACGATGGGGCGTTGAGTATGAATCCAAGATTACATCAACTAAAACCATCATCATCCTGGAAAAAGAACTCAGTCTGTATCCTATGAAGGGGGAAAAAGAAGCTTTGCTTTTTATGCCAGAAATGGTATTCTGATTTTGTAATTTGCTAACCTACAGAAAATGGAAGGCAAGAGCCTGGGAGTGTTTGGATTCTCTCTATTGAGTCTGAAAAGTCACTAAGTGGCTGGTACTTCTTCCTCCTCCCCATCCCTGCCAGCTTAGGTCAGGCCCTCCTAGTCTTGTCTCAATTACAACAGTGATGCACTCCACAGAGTACAGGATTTTTGTCTATTCTGTGCACCACTGTGTTCCCGGCACCGAGAATGCTTGCTGAATAGTCTCCTACGCGGTCTGGCTCGCCTCTTTCTACTGCAGTCCCCCTACCACTACAGTTTCTTTCCTGGCATGAGGTCACCCTCCTGCTGAAAACCCTTCCCATACAAGGCAGAATTCCAGCTCCCAAATGAGAAAAACGTGGCCTTTCAGAGTCTGGCCCCCACTTACCCACCCGTACCACCTCCTCTCGCCACGCCACTCGCTCGCAAGGCACATCAAAGAGCTCACAGTTCCCCGCCTTCTTCTGCTTCTCTGCTCTTATCTCTGTTCTCCCCTCTGCACAAAATGTCTGGCCCCACGTTTGCCCTGGCAAATACCCACCAGACAGTTCCACGTCCGGCTGAGATAGATGGCCTGTGTAAAACAAACTGTTCTTTCCTCTCAGTACCCAGTAGCACTAGGCTCTCTCTGCAAAGTCCTATAATCATCCCATTCCAGTCTATCTTCCATCAAACGTCAGTGAAGGTCTCTATTTTATTCTTGTAAGCGGCACACAGCAGGCTCTCAGTAAATGTTCATTGAAATGAAATGAAAATACAGTGTAACAAGGTATTTTAAGGTCTAGCACTTGTAAAACACTTTCTGCTCTGTAGTGACAAACCCAGCATGCTAGTATTATGAGTTTTTCTACAGCTCTATCGCACTCATTCCCAGATTCTTGAGCTCAACTTTTAAAACTTGTTTTGAAAATTAGTACCATTTCTTTTATGATCCCCAAAGGTATCTGGGTGTCATTTCATAACACACATTCTATTATTTCATCCTCATATACATGTCAAAATGAAAACTTTCAAAATAATACTTTCCTCTGAATGAAATAGACTTTACTTCTCAAGAACAGAGTTTAATTTCTTCCTTTTCATTTGGATTTACTAATCCCACTGATTCCAAAGAACATATCAAATAGTCCAAGTCTCTATAAAATTCAGAAAAAGCAGGGCTTGGAGAAGAAAATGCCCGTACAACCTCATGTAAGGGAGAACGGGAGAGGGTTCTGTAGGAAGGTAATACCACGGCCAATTCCTTTCAAGAATAAAGTTTTTGTTTTTTGGAGGGTTTAGTTGGATTCCATAGCATAATATGCAACCTGAGCTCCGTTACAAAAAAAAGACGCTATTTTTATAACATTGTACACAATATACAAAGAACCACTAGAAGTGGCCCAGTGGAAAAACAGATCAGTCCCTTGGAAGATTTCAGTCCCTCGGAAGATTTCAGTCCCTCGGAAGATTCCAGTCCCTGTCCTCTCTCTCCAGGCCACATTTAAATTTCACTTACCTTGTCCATTCCAGGGCAGATCCTGGCCTTAGCCTCTGTTCCAGGATCTCTCCAGCCCAGTACAAATTGGGCACATCCTGGGAGGTAGCCAGGGTTCCCTAGCTCTTTTCTCCCCAGGCAAAGAGCAGGGGGAGGGGCTGGTTCTTGTGTTAATAGTGCTGCCCTGCTTAATCAGATCTGAGGCTTTTGAGGTCCTACCACCACCTTACTGGTCTACAGGTTCTGTTTTCCATTTCATCCTTCAACAGTTCTGGGGCATACATTTCCATACAACAGTTTACCTGGAGGAGGAGGCTAGACCAGAATCTGGGTTTCGTTTTCTCTTAGAGATGCTGACTCTGCATCCAGCTTCCACATTTCCGACAGTAAAAACAACTCCTCTGGGGTTCTCAGCCTCATCGAGTATTCACGATCTATATATGTATATACACACAAACACATACACACATGCTTTCCCGGACCCAACGGTTTGTGAAGATTCCTTTCAGCTGTTCAGGAGTCCCAGCGCCTTAGAGAGAGGTCACCTGTTCCTCAGTGTTCCTGGGCCACCTCATAAAGATGGAGTAGTTTTGTTTCTCAAAGGTATACCTGGAACCACTTCCCATATAATGAGGAACTGGCTGTATAATCATTCCCAACCTGCAGGAAGATGTCACCCTCAAACCACCTCCGTGACCTACAGAGGAAGTCACCTGCGGCCAGCTGGGCCGGTAAAAAAAAGGGGGGAGGTCGCTTTGGGATGGCCGCCCCGCTCCCCTTTCCCACCAGGTCAGGCTCTGCCCAGGCCTGGAAACCCTCCCGGAGGAGAGGACGCCCCATCCCTCGCCACCCACACCGCGACAGGCTCCGGGTCGCAGGGAAGGCGGCCGCGGGAACAGCTTCCAAGGCGGAAAGGGAGCCGCCGCCTCGCCGAGCCCCTGCCCACCCCCTGCCCCCGCTTACCCCGCGCCCGCGCTCCGGCCGCTCTCGGGATCACTGCTTCCTCCGCATCGTGCCCGCTGGGGGAGGGCTCCGGACCCGGATGCGGGCGCCGACCAGGGCACCAGCCGGAGGCAGCGGCGCGGACTCGGGGAGCCTCTGGCTGACTTGCGGCCTCGCGACCCCGCCCAGCGCCGCTCAGCTGACCGCTGCGCCGTCCTCCCCGCCCCCGCCGGGAATTTCCCGGGCCCCGCCCCCGAGGCCCCGCCCCGCAGCCGCGCCCCCACAAGCCCCGCCCCCTCCTCCGGGCGCGCGCCTCCAGCCCGCAGTCCCACCGCGTAGCTAGTGCTCGCAGAGGCCCCAGCATGGAAAATGAGGGCTACGTGGGTCTGTGAACCGCCGTGACTCGCGGCGCTCACTTAAATACATTCTTAATTAAAGGAGTGTGCGGAGTCGGTCTCCTCTGCGGGGGTCCCTTTAGAAGGCCGGAGTGGCAGGGGCTCGCTGCGCCCTCGATCTCTGTTAAGTCTTACATCTAGATATGGTTAACTGAGCATGCATGGCTTTCCATCCGACTTTGCCCTTAAAATAGACCTTTAATTAAAAACATAAAGCCTGCAGGATGCTTCTTGGGCTCTTTGTTCCCACGGAAGAGGCCAATGGTGGACGCCTGGATAGTTCAAGTGCCCCAGGCCCGTGGGATTACTGGATTGATTTGGATTGTTTTGGGAAGCAGAAGTACTGATCTACTTGTAACCGGAGGAGGGAAGATGCTTCCGGATTAGATAGAATTAAAAGGGAGGAAACAAGACGACGAAGAAGCACAATAATTTGCGTCCTAAGCACAGCGAGAAGGGTTGAGCAAGGACGCAGACACAGGACACAGAAGGGAACTGATAGTGAGGTCAAGATCTGGGCAGGGTCTCGACCAAGGTGGTGCAGCCTGTGCCTGGCACCAGGACCCTATGCAAGACAAGAAAACAGAAATGGGAGAGGGAGAGGGGGCGGAGGGGAGAGTTGAGAAAGGATAGGGTCTGAGAGTAAGTTTGCGCCAAAGATCAAAAAGGACTTTCAATACCAGGCATATACCCTAACCCTGACCCTAATCCCTAACCCCAAACCCAGCAGAAATCTGGGGTTTTATTCTCTGGAGTCTCTGAACTGCAAAATACCCAAACCCTAACCCCTAACCAAGGGAGAAAAAAAGAAAAAGGACTTAATGTGCGGGAAGAACTTGATTTAGTAATGAAGACGCTGACGCTGCTCAGCAGGAATACGCAGCACGTGGTTGTGCGTCCAAACTGCCCAGTGGTTGGAAGGCAAGGGGGAAAAAAAAAAATCTGAAATCTAAATGGGAAAAGGCGAAGGCGCCCTCTCCTGGCATCTCGGAAGGATTTAGTTTCACTTTCAAGACCGCCTGCTCCAGTCAAGTTCCCCCTGCCTGGTCTTTTACACCACCGTTGAATTAATCTCTAAAATTGGGCAGAGGGGTAGCAAGTCAGTCCCTGGCCCCACACCCAACTCCCGAGGGTCCCTCCTGAGCCTGTCCGGGGTGCCTAGGGTGAGTCCCACTCCCACTGGGTTTCCTTCTATTTTAAACCATATTAAGGTAAGATAAAATGAGTATAAGAGGATTTGGGGGCGGGGAGGTGCGGGAAGAAGGTCGTACGGAGGCTGCTCTCAGCCTGGGAGTAGTAAGGTTGGAGGTGAGCTTCTGGTAGAGAAAGTGGTGGAGGGAGTTTTCTCAGCCCTCTTGGGAGGGGCCCTGAAGCATTGCGCAACCCTGCCACGTCTTAGCTCCGAGACCTTGGGCAACTTACCTGGTCTTGCCTTGCATCGTTCTCTTTATCTGCAAAATCCAAAAAGTTCTGAGAACCAAAAGCCTTTCTTAGTTCAGTTGGCGGCAAAACCCGACCTCAGCTGATGAAGAGGAATTGACACTCTTTAGACCACTTCATGGGATTATTTATTTCATTGAAGACACATTACTTAGTTTATATGAGATCCGCTTCGGACACTCTTGGGGAGTTATGTTATATAAATTACATACTTTGTAATACATTACTGTCTCACCTTTCTAAAATCCAAAAAAATTCTGAATTCTGAAACGGGAGCTTGCTCCACAGGCTTTAAATAAGGGATCTGGATCTTCAGCCCCTACTGCCTAAGGCCATTGTGAGGATGCAGGGCTAAGATTAGTAAAAGTAACCCGGGGGCACAGTGTCATTGTTGTCGCTCTGCTTCTTAGCCTGATTGGTGGGGTGGTGCCTTTTCCTCTCATACTTCCGTAAGTAGATGGAATCTACGTGTAGATAAAAAGACTAAAATTATAACGTGCTTTTAGCTGTTCACTGATGCGGTTTTGTGGTAGGTGACTGCAAAGCAGCGTGGCAGCATATTCAGTGAGATATTCATTTATTTCATGCTTTCTGTGCTCCTCCCTACTCCCCTCACCCCCTCTGCGTGGAGAAGGCAGTTCATCCCTTTGTGGTTCCTACCTCAAGGGCATTTGCCCAGGAGTCTTGGACAAACAACCTTTCAAAAGGCGATCTACCCCAGGTGTCCTGGAGGGAAGGGGAGAGAGGCCAGGGGGTGTGTGTCAAAGCAAAATGAACAAGACTTTTAGTTTCTTAAAAAAAAAAAAAAAA